TTAGCTTCCTTGTCTGCTCGTCCAGAGAACAACGAACTGGCTGAGCTGCCGACTGCGGTCGAGCTTCACCAAGCTATCACAAGTTTGAGCAACAACAAGGCCCCTTGAGAGTCTGGCATTCTACCTGAGATGGTGAACCATGCTGGTCCTGCTTTCCCTGGCGCTCTACTAGAGCTAGTCCATCAAGTCTGCATGTTGTAGTTAATGTGTGTGTATTTTTTTATTTTTTGAAAAGTGAGGCACGCGTTTTTCGGGCTCTCTTTTTTATCCTTTTTTGCAGCCCAGCCGGCATCAGGCTGGACTGGAAGTAGACTAGATCAGTGATTAGAAGTAGAGTAGTGTCGGAAACTTGCCATGCCCGGAGCTACCCCGAGAACTAACTGTCGTGTATCAGCCTTGACTGCTAAAAAGTCTGGCCGCACTTTTCTCCGAGGCCGCCGATCGCGAGGATCGCCTGACCAATAGGTTTGATGAGCTATCCAGACAAGTATCTAAGCTGAATGAGGAGGTAGCTTCTCTCAAAGAATCCGCCATTGCCGCGGCGAAAGCACCTCAGCCATGCCAGCCAGGACGTTCTACGAACCGTGATCGTACCCGTACTGACCCCCGCACAGCCTGCAGGCTGTGTACCAGGAGTTCGAGTACGAGTAGATCTACCAGCGCGCTGAACCAAGGTCCAGCATCCGATGAGCCCGTGCTGAATTTGAAAATGATGCCCGCCCAGCAGCCAGTCCTGGCCACAATGTGGACAGCGTGAGCGAGAGTGACGCGGATGACGGTTTTCAGCAGCCGCGGAGATGAAAGCGCAACAACAGCACAAAGGTGTTGCAGCCCATCTCCGACGATGCATGGAAACTCATTGCAAATGAGCCCCACAGAGCGAAGAGAGCTGTCGTGTATGTTGGTAATCTCAGCAGGGAGACAACTGAAGACCGGTTACGCCAATTTGTTGATTTGCGTAGCAGGGCCGTCAACTCCGACACACCAGTAGTGCTCCATTCCTCTAGCATGCATGTCAATGATAGCGGCTGCATATCTGCAACAGCGATGGTGGATGCCAGCTCCCTGCATATCCTGCTGCCAACTTCTGGCCAAGGCCACTTTACTGCAGGAGGTGGACCTTCCACACCCGTCAGTCACAAGACGGCACAAGGGTCAGCTCAGCCTGGCTGCGCACCAACTTTGCCGATCAATGATAAAGAATGATGGCAGCACTGGGCGACCCTAAGTGTAAACTACTTCTAACTAATGCATTTGGCCTGATGTGTAAGCTTGGTGAATTCCAGCACGTAGTCACCACACGCCTACCAGACATTGCCATTGTCACGGAGACGAAGTTCACCGCAGAAAAATGTACGATTGTGGATGCCATGCTGCCAGGTTCCCAACCGCCCATCCGTCGTGACCGTACATCACAGGGTGGCGACGTAGCTGTGTGGTTGCGGTCAGGTCTGGCCTACAGACATCTGGAGCAGGTGAGCTGTGGTGACCTGGAGGTAATATGGATTACTGTGCAACTACAATCAGGCAACAACGTAGTGGTGTGTGCCACTTACCGGCCAGGCACGTGTTCTGACAGCGACATCTCCATGATCGAGCATATTGATAGCACAATTGACAGAGTGCGGCAGCAAGGATCTAACAGCATTATTGCCGGCGATTTCAATGTGCACAACCGAGCTTGGCTCCACAGCACCAGGACGAGCATTGCTGATGAAGCTGCAGAGGACATGTGCGCACTGCATGGTCTCATCCAACATGTACTGGAACCCACCCGCGATGCTAACACGTTGGACCTGGTCATGACGGACTTCCAAGACCCCGTCCACATTCAGGTACTGCCCCCAATTGGCAAGTTTGACCATGCTGTCATCATAGCTACATGTAGTTCTCAGCTGCAGCGAGAGAAGAGCACGCGGAGAACCGTCTGGCGCAACAAGAAAGCAGACTGGCCTCGCCTACAGCACTTCTACCATACCACAGATTGGGACGCATTGCACTCACCTGATGTTGATAAATGCACCCGGGCAGTGACTAGCCACATTCTTCTGGGTATGCAGAAGTTCATACCATCTCTGAGACTTGTAGCACGCCCATCTGATAAACCATTGTGGACATTGGAATGCTCTAACGCTGTCAAAGAGAAGCAAAGAGCTTGGCGGCATTGGCGCTCACAACCTTGTGTTGCTAATCAGAGCACATACAAGATAGCCTGCACCAATACCCGCCTCCTCATTTCTGCTGCAAAGTCAATCCACCGTCAGCGTCTTCGAGCTCGACTGCAAGCAGGTTGTGCAAACGATAAAGAGTGGGGGAAACTCTGAAGCAAGCCAGTGGCCATGGACGCAACTCTGGCATACCTACTATCATCGATCGTGATGGCAATTAACACTCCACCAATAGTAGCAAAGCTGAGGCGTTTGGGAAGGATTTTGCTGGGAAATCCTCTCTTGTGGATGATTTCGAGGATGCGCCTCTCCCACATGTACAACCTAAGTCTACCGCCCCCTTGCTCCAAGTGAATACCAGGGAAACAGCTGTTGCCCGAGGCCTCCGTCAGCTTGACACTTCCAAAGCAACAGGACCGTACAACATCCCAGCTTGTGTCCTCAAGACGTGTGCAAACGAGCTTGCTGCCCCCCCCCCCCCCCAGCACGCCTCTTTGCCACGTGTTTCTCTATTGGAAGACAACCGGCAGACTGGAAAAAGGCCAGAATAGTTCCAGTTCACAAGAAGAACTCCCGTTCACCCATCAGCCACTACCAACCAGTGTCCCTACTCAACATTATCTCAAAGGTAATGGAAGGCATTGTGAACCTCACAATCATGAACTTTCTAGATCGCCATAATGTTCTGTCTGCAAAGCAATATGGATTCCGCCGACGCCTTGGAACTGCAGATGTCCTGACCCTCCTACATCAGCAATGGAGTAGAGCTGCCGGTTCGGGAGGCTCAGCCCGTGTTGTTGCAATAGACATAGCTGGAGCATTTGATAAGGTGTCCCACAAAGGTGTGATTCACAAGGCAGCTGTCTATGGGCTCAGGGGCCACCTTTTAACCTGGTTGACCGACTATCTATCAGCTTGGCATCTCCGTGCAGTCGTATCTGGCCATGAGTCTAATGTCTTTCCCATTACCGCTGGTGTTCCTCAAGAAAGTATACTGGGGCCTACTCTGTTCTTGTTATACGTGAATGACAGTGACACTACTCTCGGAGAGGGCGTAGATCTCGCTGTCTATGCGGACGACACCACGCTGTATCAGTGTCTCGCAGTGGGCGCAGACGTGAATGAACAAAGCCGTGTTTTGCAGCATGCAGTGGATGACCTCTCCGCCTGGGGCAAAGCCTGGAAGATTTCATTTGAGCCCACCAATCCCAGACCCTCACCATCAATCACCATCGGCCACGTCAGCAGCTCCCAGCCATCTCCTTTGATGGAGTACCAGTTGTGGAGGAAGCAGAGCTCAAGCTCCTAGGAGTCCAGTTCGACACACAGTTGTCTTTCCACCAGCATTTGTGCTCTGTAGCCGTAAGTGCTCGCCAGCGGTTACACTTCCTGAACAGAGCTGCCCCCATCCTTGATGTTCGTGGAAGAGAGCGGGTCTACAAAGGCTTCGTCAGACCAATAATGGAATACTGCCCATTGGTCTGGATGGGGGCTGCCACTACAACCCTTCGCCAGCTCGATGCAGTTCAGTTACGAGCTCTCTAGATCATCTCTCGTGAGTCATGGCTCCCTAGTCTGGCCCTCCGCCGTGCTGTTGCTGCTCACACGTACTTGTACAAGCTCCAGTGCCTCCCAACTAGCTCACCACTGCGAGCAATGATCCCTGCCGTTGCACCAGAGCTGCAAGGGCATCCTCGCACTCGTCAGCAGAGCCGGATTTGCCATGAATTGCAGTTTGCCATGCCCCACAACCGTCACTCACGCAACAGCGTACAGCGATCATTTCCGTCCGCCATCGTTGAGGAGTGGAATCGCCTTCCTCCAGAGCTCATCACAGCACCACTTACTTTACCTAGCCTCCAGCAGTTCAAAGAAGGCGTTCATATCTGCGATCTGCTGACTGGCATTGGTCCTCTACGCACCTGTGATCTTGGTGTGTGTGTGTGTGTGTGTGTGTGTGCGTGTGTGTGTGCGTGTGTGCGTGCGTGTGTGTACAGTGTGTTTGTGTGTGTGTGTGAATGTGTGTGTGTATAGTACCGGTATGTGTGTGTGTGTAATACTTCCATGTGTGTGTGTGTGTGTGTGTGTGTGTGTGTGTGTGTGTGTGTGTGTGTGTGTGTGTGTGTGGCTGTTCGCGTGTGCGTGTGTGTGTGCGTGCGTGCGTGCGTGTGTGTATGATTTCGAATACCTGCTGCTTGGCGTATGCAGTCAATGTATGGTGTACCTGAACCTCAACTTTTTTCCTCCAATTTAACTTAACAACATTCCTTGACCGTGCTGCCACCCTTATTTCACATTTGCTCTGTAGTGCTCCTACTCATTTTTTCTATTTTTCTGTTTGGCGCGCATGAGCAGTGCTGAGGCCAAGACCCCTTTTCGGTTTAGCTGCTCTTGCCCCGCCTCCACTGCTTCGGCTGCCATCGCTATGTGCATCTCTGTGCGTTTTTGCCACCGTGTGCACCATGATAGTTTGTGGTTATCTTGTAAAAAAGGTGTGCGTGTGTGTTTGTGTGTGTGTGTGTTTTGTGTGTGTGTGTTATCCCATCACTAGTTGCTTTGTCTAACGTAGCTGTTCTTTACCATTGCTTCTGCGATGGGCAGGTCTGAGATCTGGGATCTGACGTGTGTGTGTGTGTGTGTGTGTGTGTGTGTGTGTGTGTGTGTGTGTGTGTGTGTGTGTGTGTGTGTGTGTGTGTGTGTGTGTGTGTGTGTGCATGCATGCATGCATGCATGAGTGTTTGTGTGTGCGTGCAAGGGTGCGTGTGCATCAACATGTGTATGAATGTGGGTATGTGTGTACATGTCTTGTCTTTAATTTGCTGCTACTTCCAGGATGGTTACACACCATTACATGATGCAGCATATAATGGTCGTGTTTCCACAATGGAATATCTTCTCACTTCTGGACATTCGTTGGAACCAAGGAATAATGTAAGTCAGATTATCCCTGATGCATGCTCCTTTTTATGAGCAGAAAGAAGAATTACGCAGTTGAATACTTTTTTGCGAGTAAACTTCCGTGCCTTCTCTTCATGTTGTGACGTACCTTCTCCCGTACATTGTCTCCTTCCGCATCAACAAGGTAATATAGCGGCATGAGCAAATGGGAGCAAGAACAATGACTTATGTATTTTACCGGTTGTAAGTCGACCCCGGTTATAAGTCGACCCCCCTATCTGGAGGTCTCAATTCTGCGTTTTAAAGTTTTCACCCAAAGAAGCACTACTAACCACCTCCTGCTACTAACACATCAACAAATCATGTAAACATTCCTTATTGTAGGATATAACGTCCCAATCCTTGAAAAAGGCCAATAAACTGGCAAAAATGTATAAACATGGTGCACTCGTGCATGCAGTGCAGGTCATTTTTTGTAAGATACTGATAGTTCCCGGTTATAAGTCGAATCCCGGTTGTAAGTCGACCCCCACCCTTTCTCCTTCTATTTTAAGTCGTAAAAGGTCGACTTACAACCGGAAAAATACGGTAGGCATTATGTATATTGGTCACGTATTAATCATCGTTGTTTTTAGCTATTCCGCTTTGACCTGGTTTTATCACTACATTGCTGTACATAATTTATTGTGAAAAAGGAGAAGGAAAAAATGTTCCGAGTTATGACTAACTGTCCACCAACGTAACCAGACCTTATACAGTCAGTGAGTGCGACCATTTTTTTAATTTATTTACAATAAACACAGCTCACAGGCAAAGACAACAAAATTGCATAGTGGGAGCATAGCGATGGTAAGGCTTTTTGCCCTCAGCCAACCTGAGGTCTCGACGTCATGGGGACTTAAAACACACCAAAAAGAAAGAAGAAGGAACAATTGAAAGGAGTGACAGGTACATGATGCGAAATGTTAGGAGAGACAGGACATTTCAAGGAGGAAAAGATCACACAGCCAGTGTTAGGTGGAGAATGAGAGAAAAGAAGAACAGTTGTTATTGGGAGGAGTATTTGTAGCGGAATTTAAAAGTCATGGGGTGAGGCAGATGTGATGCTGATACTCAGAGATGGTCATGTGCCCACGACCAGTCGTTGGTCTTCAAAGAATGGTTGGCTGCAACCTTTTAATGTTGCAAGTTCTTAGTGCAGAATGGACCAGAGAAGACTCCGGCGGGCAGCTGGTTCCAGACGGGGACAACTGTGTGAGGGTAGGCTCGGCACAGGTTGTTTCGGGAATGGACTGGAAGGGCTTGGGTGGTATCTTGTTGGGTGGTGGAGGTGATGTTGGCATGCAGTGTAGTGTCGTCTGCGAATGAGGCTAGGTCAGCACCGGCTGGTACATGGTCCTCGCAGTCGTTCACGTATATGAGGAAGAGAGTCGGACCCAGAATACTGCCCTGGGGGACTCCAGTCTGAATTGGGAGCCTTGAGGATGTCTGGCCACAAATGACCACTTGAAGGTAGCGTTCAATGAGGTAGCTGCTGAGCCACTGGTGCAGTTGCCCACGCAAGCCGTATACGTTGGACTTGTGTAGCACACCGGGGTGTGATACGGGATCAAACGTGCCGGCTATGTCAATGGTGAGTATGCGTGCTGCGCCTTTCTCCCCGGCTGTATGCAGCCACTGGTTGTGGAGGCTGGAGAGGAGGTCGGCTGCACTATGGCCATGGCAAAATCCAAACTGTCTTGTGGAGAAGACGTTGTTCGACTCGAGGAAATTAGTTATTGTTCTGTTGATGATTGTCTCCATCACTTTGGACAGAATACACAAGAGCGAAACTGGACGGTAATTGGAGGGTAGAGACTTTGATTTCCGTTTGAATATAGGGACTATGTTGGCAATATTCCATGTCTTGGGCTGTATCCCAGTTTGGAAGCATTGTGTGAACAATGTAGAAAGAGGTTGTTCCAGTTCAGCAGAGCATGTTTTCAACACTCCTGCCGGTATCCCATCTGGCCCGGTAGCCTTTGATGGGTTGAACTGCCCAGGCAGGCACAGTGGGTTGGTCAAAAACCATGATTGAGATACGAGAGGAACCTGGTTCTAGTCCCGCCTGGGAGCGGTTTTTCCAGCCGTGCTGCAACCCACAGTCAACTGGGAACTTGTGGCCAGGCACAAGGGGTACATGGATACAGCTAATGGGGTCGTTTTCGGCACTTGTGCCAATGGTTGTGAGACTTATCCACTCACCCCCACTGTTAGGCGCTGCATCTGCCGCTAGGGTTTATCGGGTGTTAGCGGCCGCCGTGAATTCCCGTCGGGAACGGACACGATAATTTACTTAACTTTTTCACTGCCAAAGGGTGCGCTCGACAGCAGCCACACAGAAACGGCCATCCGAAAGGGCCTGTTCATTTCGAGGCCTGACATATGGGAATGGGGCTGACAGGTCATCTTGGCCAAGACCGCATTTACTTCCAAAATAGCGGGCCATGCATTCTGCTTTGTCTGCGCCGGCTGTGTACTCACGTCCATCGGGATCACGTAATGTCGGAACAGATTGACGACGCCCATTGCCAGAGGCACACTTGACGGTGTGCTACCAGTCACTGGGTGGCAGCTGATTTGAGGTCATTTTCTGTCTCAGTTTCGCCATGAAAGCACTCTCGCAGTTTTGAGACAGGCAACTGTTGAAAGCCTAGCATCTTGGTAAGCTGACTGTCGATCGTCGTCAGACGGGTCATCTCTCAGGTATCTCCATGCACGTCATTTCCTCACTGTGGCAGCAGTGCACTCAGGGGTCCACCATGGAGGGTCGAATGCACGGGTTTTCAGGGTATTAGAGGGGATGAATCTCTTCATACCCTCCAGGATCCTCTCTGAGATGCCAGTGCATGACAGGTCTGATCAGTCCAAGCAATAGCTGCCCAATTGGTGGTTCTGACGAAGTGAAGGAGCCTGGCCCAATCTGCATGCTGATACCTCCATACAGTTCTTGGTATGGGAGGCTCGCGTGATGCACGGATCTGGAAGTCGGCAAGTAGACAGGCATGGTCAGATTTGCCAAGAGGTGGCAAAACAGAAACAAATGATTCTACGGGTAGGTCGGACATCATCTGGTCCAGTGTGTTGCAGCCGTGCTGTGGTTGGTCGACTAGCTGTTCAACACCGTGCATGTAGCACGTGTCCTCTGCATGCTCCACACCTCTAGTTGTTCTGCTACTGTGGAGCCACTCTTGGTTATGTACATTGAAGTCCCAGCATTTATCATAGCAGAGTTGCGGCAAAATGGCACAAAACTGACAAGGAGTACTGAGACATTCGGCGACCTGATTCCTAGCTCCAACACTTGTCCAAGGTGCACAAACCACCAACCTTCCAACTTGGAAGGCTCAGGTTCGGAAGGTCCAAGAGGGAAGGAAAGCGCAACGAAGAAGAGCACGAGCTACGCGCCACGGCAACAAAGAATGCCAAATGTTACTGGATGATGACGAAACTAGTAAGATTATTGGACATACCGGCTTTACTACAACTCGACGAAGCAACAAACCACCCAACTTGGGAGGCTCAAGTTTATGTGGAAAACAAAGAAAGGGGAAGCTAAGCGAAGACGAATTGTGACAAACCAAAACGTCAACAGTCTATTGAACTTCACTACACTGTATCATTTTTTAAAAGTATGATAGACTAGTTATGTGCAGTAACAAGTTGTTCCACACGACATACGTTTCACCGTATAGGTTATGGCGGCTCATAAGGTGTGCAAAGTTGAACTCGGATGGTGAGCCTATTAATCTATGGTGAAAATGGAGAAGGACAAAATGTTACGAGTTATGACTAACTATCCACCAACGTAACCAGATCTTATACAGTCAGCGAGTGCAACAAAATGGTGGTTGGTGGACAGTTAGTCATAACTCGTAACATTTTGTCCTTCTCCTTTTCAACCATAATTTAATTGGCTCACCATCTGAGTTCATAATTCATTGTATTTGCTCTTGTTTGCTCTTGCTTATATATCACCTGAGGAGAAGGTACGGAAGTTTACTCGCGAAACCATTCGTTATCAAAACGTTGTTGAAGAGCCTGAGGTGTTTCCTATCAACATTTTTCCTTAGCTTCACTAACCTGGAAAACGATAATAAGTTACTTGCGTCACCTCAAACGTGCTCGTAAGTCCAATGTTTTGAAGATATCTGATATATGTTTCCAAGTTGGATATTCGAGGATCGCAGCATCTCGGCTTCCTCCGGAATCTCTCTCGAGTGCTGGACTCCAGGTGTCATTGTGCGATCTGCAAGCGCTTTGTCCGCCCGGGCACAAACCACTCTGGCTCGCCCCATCCAACAGGGTGGCCATCGCCTAATCGGTGAGGGACCGTACCTTTGCCTCCTGTACAAGATGCATTGTCCAGATGCACATCGCCTTCTACAGAGAATGTTGCCACCCCAGCAGCCCCAATCCCAAAACAGTCCACTCCACCTGTAGTGCGTTTCAAAGATGTAACGCCCACGCACACCAACTGGCAAATGAACTTCCAGTCCCTTCCCGAAACAACCTGTGTCGAGCCTTACCTCGCGCAGTTTTCCCCGTCTGGAACCAGCTGCCCGCCAGAGTCTTCTCTGGTCCATTTTGCACCAAGAACTTGCAACATTTCAAAGTTGCAGCCAACCGCTGTTTGAAGAACAACGACTGATCGTGGGCACATGATCATCTCTGAGTATCAGCATCATATCTGCCTCACCCCATGATTTTCAAATTCAGCTCCATGTACTCATTCCAATAACGTGTTTCCTTCTTTTCTCTCCTTCTCCTCCTAACACTCTCTGTCTTATCTTTCCCCTCCTTGTAATGTACTGTCTCTTCTCCTAACATTTAGTGTCATGTATCTGTCACTTCTTTCATTTTTTCTTCTTCTTTCTTTTTGGTGCGTTTTATGTCCTCATAATGTCGAGACCTCAGGTCGGCTGAGGCCAGAAAGCCTCACCATCACTATGCTCCCACTATGCAATTTTTTTGTCTTTGCCCGAGAGCCGTGATCAATGTAGAAAAATGAAGAAAGAAAGAAAAACAACCATTGCCTAGGCATTCACAGAAGGCTTGGAGCACTCTGCTTTCTGTACAAGCTCCATTGTTCAACTGGCCCAGATATGCTCCTCGCCCGTCTTCCACCCTGAGCTACCAACGCATCAAGCCA